CCGTGCTGTATGTCCTTATGTCTTCTGTCCCATGTTTCTGCCCCCTCTTTTCACCGGAACAGGTGATCAGTTGATCCAAACAGAAGACAGTTCAGGGATTTCACCCAGCCAAATAGCCTTCTCAGTGCCTAGCAGGAGAGCATGGAATTAAAGCATCGCCAGCTTCCACCAGCTCGAACAATCTTGCAGCCTCTCTCTCGGGCAATGGTACAAGTTTCCTTCTGGTGACTCTGCTCCATAAGCAGTGGCCTTTGGCAGTAAAGTGGTATCAAGCAACAGCAAGTGATAATGTGTTCATCTGCACATCCGTTTCCTAAACAAATGCTAATCTGAGCCCAGAGGCTTCCCTCATGCTCCTGAGTGACCAGCTAACAAGGCCTGAGATGCCAGGGAAATTACCCCCTAGCCTTTCATTGTAATTCTCCTGCTTTAGGAACAACCTGCTGCAGTAGATGTCATTGCTGTCAGGAATGAAGCTATGGAAGGAGAGGTCCTGTCCTTCCTCTGCCCAGCTCCAGAGACCGTCCTTGCACCCTGATGCATCAGCTTTTCTTGGGTGCAGTAGCAGAGATGAGCCCCTGCAGAAACAGGAACAGGAGCAGGAGTAGATAAGGACCAGTTCTGGTCTCTGCAATGTTCCCAGGCCAGAAGGCATACATAGTTTATCTCCACAGCTCTGTAAGGATGGGGAAAAAAAAGAGTGGGAAAAGGACTGGGCCTTAAATATACAATGAGCCTTTCCCCACCCATTACCACCTCACCAATAAGCTATTCCAAGATATCTTGTTTATGTTTGAGTGTCTTAATACCTCTTAGCATTTGCATTTGCCTTGAAGCTACAGGCAGTTATGTGCTGCAGTGTGCTAAATATTTGTGCAATAAGTACAAACAGATGTTTGAAGATCTGCTTTGAAGCAGATCTTTACCCTCTAGATTCTCTCCCAAGACTCTTCAGGCACAGTGCACATCAATATATTCAGACCGAAGCCTTGAAGGGCAGGGAGAGAGGAGATAGATAGAAATAGTTAGCAGTGGAGCAGGAACACATCCCCGTTGCATAACCCCTCACAGCAACAGTTTGGACAGCACAGCTTTCATAAACAGTTTGTCTGCAGGGCTTCCTTCCTATAAAGCAACCTCTGCTGCATTCAGGTCTGTCTTCAGGTTTTTTTTTTTTTTTTTTTTTGACCTCACTAGCCAGATTCTGGTCACCCTCAAGAGCTATTGCTCACAACCGAAATAATCCCCCTGATGTCAAAGATCTCAGAGTGAGCAGAGGTGGTAAAACCTGCCTGGTGTGCACAGATGGCCCTTGCTCCCATGCACGGACTTCAGCCAGCTGCTCGCAGGGGTGGAAAGGTCCCACAAGACCAACACAAGTGGCATTAAGTAATTCGGCTCGCAGACCCCACGGCTGGGTACCCCGTTTTGCTGCAGGCCCCATGCAAAGGAATGGGGAAAGGTAAAGCAGCCGCTGCCTCGGGCAGCTGACACCAGAAAACCTGAAAGGAGGAAGGTAACAGAGCAGTTGTGAAACCGGCCAGGATCGTGCAGTGATTTCTGTGGGGGAGGCTGCAGCAAGGGCTCTCAGGTGACTTTAACCACCGTGTTGCAACTTGGGGTTTGTTTCTTCTTTTTCTCACATTTTTGGGGAGAAAGGGGTGTGTCTGGCAGCTCAGGTGCTGCCTTGGGATTAGGTGATCTAAGTGCACGTTTCTGCTTTGCCAATGACTCCCTCAGGCATCTTGCTCTAATTCCCGCTACCTTTTGCCCCTCGTTCTTGAAGGAAGAGCAGGACTTCCATACCCCGGGGCACACAGGTTTAGTACTTCAAAGGCTGTGAGGCATTCAAACAGGTATTAGAGAGAGCCTTATAAGGCCCTGCATAGGTTCACTCTGCTTTGTCTTTTGTCTGTACCCCTTGCACAGCAAAGGGAGTCCTTCAGAGCACTGAGCAGAGCTGACTTTTAAATGCAAGCTAATGTTTGACCTTAACTATGTGGAGAACTAATGTTCGACCTTAACTATATGGAGAATTAATGTTCTGCTGTAAATCTTTCTAACACTCTCTGCACAACATTTTCCCTTCACTCTCTTCTTTTTCACGTGTCATATTCCTTGGTTAAAACATGAAAACAGTTCCTAACTGTTTTTCCGAGCGATCACACCTTTATCTTGCCTAATTCCGCTTCTCTTTAAACCGCTCTTCCCACCTTTCCCTCTCTTCCTCCTGCTCCTCAGGCAGGAGCCGCCTACCATGCAGCTCCCCGCTAGGACTCAGCCAGCAGCCAGCTTGGATTTACAGACCCTTTGCCATGCGCAGAGACTGGCAAGCCGGGCCCAGGGCAGGGGCAGGTCGCAGCAGCTGGGAGCGCTTCCCACATCCCGCATCCCCTGCGCCGTCGGGGTGAGGCGGAGGTGGGTGCTTATTCCTCTCATTCCCCTGCTCTCCGTGCAAGCCAGCGAGGGGTGCGTTCCGCAGGAGCTGCTGCGGTGCATTTCGATGAGGAGCCAGCTTGGCTGGTCAGCAGGCTAGGCCTTGGAGAGGTGGCTCGGTGCAAAGCAGGAGGCTGCAGGGGTGACAGCCAGCAAAAGAGAGGGGAAAAATCAGTGCAGGGTCTCCGTGGGCTCAGACTTTTATGCCTTCCCTCTCCTCACCTGTGAGAAGGGAGATCTAGGAGCTCTGGTATTAACATGGGACTCAGGAAACCTACTTGGTTCCCAGAACTGGTTTTCTTGGCTTTTGATCCCTGAAACTGTCTCCTCCATGTGGGAGCACATAAATGCTAAGGCAGGAGTGCAGGACCGGAGCCTGGAGGGACTCCATCGTTTCCTAGGGTGCGAAGCTGATGCAACCAGGACACAACCCTGCACCCCCAGCTGTTTTGTCATCTCATGCTTCTGTTCCTGCCCTGCAAAATGAGAACACTATTTTCCTCCCTGAGCAGGATAACGCTTAGGAAGTGAAGGAGTCCAGGAATGCCTGTAGCAGTGGTCGCGGACGTGTCTGGCATGACCCCTGCCACCTGCTCTGCACCTCCTGTTTCCCAGCACCTGCCAATGGGAGGCAAAACGCCGGCGTTCATGGGACAGTTGAGGACCACATTCCCCATAGGAACACGCCACTCACGTCAGTGCTGTAGGTGAGAAATCTTGACAGAGCTTTAGGCCTCTGCAAGTCATTTGCAGCAGATTTCTCTGACGTGGCAGTGAAATCTGTGGCGTCTTATTTTCCCCTGTCTTCTGACATCTGCAACCTCAGTGGCACTGGGCGTGTGGAGGAGTCTTCTTATTTAAAAAAGGGATAAACATGTTTAGCTGTCTCTCTGTGTAATCAGGAAAGAATATGGTGTGCCTCTTCACTTGCATTTGCAACATAAGTCCTGTCAAGGAGAGTAAAAAAGATGCATGCCTTTTTGTTGTTGCTGTTGTTTATGTGTAGGTTTCCTCCAAAAATAGTGAATGCATCACGGGTGTCAATCTGGCAGGTGCAGGATCTGATGGTGACGATCTGATCCCATGAATTTGTTTCACATTCAGCTGTGAACTGTTTAGTGAGACAGGAGGGGAAAAAAGAAGCATCTTCTCCCAAAAGAGTTAGAGGGAGCTGGTTGCAATCAGGGTTAAGTGTTTATGTTTTCTTTTGTTTTGCCTCTTTAAAAGACAAGTTATACTAGAAAGTATCACCTGCCAAATTTTAAGTCTGAACAAATAAAGTTTGGAGTTTTACTTTAATTTCCTGTCCTGTGCCTGTTTTTTCTGGGTCCCTTGTGAAGCGTTCTGAGCATTGCTGTGTGAATGGCGCTTCCCGGCCCATTTCCCTCCCAGGCACCTAAGGAGGATGCAGGGAAGTTCAAGCAAGTGGCACGTGTGTATCCAGCCAGGTTGCCCTGTGGTTGGTGTCCTCACTGAGTGCTCTCAGCACAGGGCTCTTTGCTCACTCTTACTTTTGAGGGAGGAAAAGTGCCAAATCCCTTTGCAGAACAGTCGTTTTCTCAAATTGTCCATCTTCAAAAGAAAGTCTTGTGTCCCCTGACAATGACAGGGGGAGGGCTAAGTGCTCTCTGACATGTCTTGCACTAATTTGATGGGATTTGGCCGTGAGTCCAGGAAATTTTGATGATTTTTTGTACCAAATACTGCTAACCAGGCATGTATAGTGTTTTTCCTTTAAGCTAGAGCTTTCTTCCAGGACACTGCAAGTAATTTGATTCTCCATTGATAAACCATCACTCAAACATGATGTGGAACTGTAGTCCTAATCACCTGGGCTAATGAAAACTCAAATGGCACATTCTCAGGAGAAAGTTCATTAGTTCCAGTGTTTTCCAACAAAATTATATCAGGCTGATGTATTACCCTCCCCTCTAGTTTCATTTATGGCGAGTTACTCACTTTGTCCAAACTCCTGCATACCATTGCAGTGCCTTATTTTGTCATCTTCCACCCCATAATTTCATAACATGCTGCGTGTTTGTTTAAAAGCATGGCAAAAGCTTTGAAGCCTTTAGGAGAGAGATGCCCTGTCTTTACAGTGATGATATATGGTCTGCCAGCTCAAGTAGCCTGCCTGGTAGGACAGAATTGCAGTTGGGAAACCCTTTAACACAGTCTCCCCTGTGCTCCAAAATAGGAAGAGATAAACAGGAAAAAGAGGAGACACCTTCTTTTTTTATATTGTTTGAGACTCAAGTCAGTTGAGTCTCTGATGTTAATAACTTCCTGTTTTGCTTTAAGTCTTCTGTCAGCCAAAGAGCTTTCGTGTGTGTTGGCATCTCAGCCTAAGCTTAGGAAACTGAATCACTAAGCGTGTTTTCAAGCTTAAGGATAAAAATTACAGTTTTTTGTTTACATATACACACCGTGCAACTAGTAGTGGGACCTGAGAGGGAAGAATCCATGCAAATCAGATTTACTTCATGTAGGACATCAAAGAAGTATCCTCTGAAGCTCAGGCCTTCTGTTTGTTTCTAAGGAGGTGCTCAGAAAGCAGAAACAGAAAAGAAGATCTGGAAAAAGGCAGAGAAAGGTGTACTTGTGTAATATCACTTGGGTAAGTTGCCTGCGTGGTACGCGTTGTGTTGCAGTGTTTTCCACATTAGCTTAAATCAGTAAGACTGTCTCTCTTGCAGCTCTTCCAGGAGCTTCTGTGGTGAACTGAACGTTTTCCTCTGGATAATACGCTTACGTAGTGGGGAGGTGGAGTCCCCAGGGTGCTGAACTCATCTGTGCTGCTCGTGACAGCTCCTCTGCGTCCCTGGGAACCACCTCCTGGTCCTAGCGTGTGACAGGACAGCTTGGACTTAACCATTCCGTGAGGACTCAACATTAAATCAAGATTTAAAGCAGTGCTGGACTAGGAAGTGTGAGCTGTGAGATAATTCACTGGTTGTTGTAAATATCACTAGAAGAGCTGGTCAGAAGGAAATGTGAAGCAGGTGAAAAGAAAGGTCCCTAAAGTGAATGTTAAAGCCTTTTGGAGATATCATCCAGTGGACTGGGAGATGTGGGTCTTTGGAGAGAAGATGAGGGTGAAAGAAGGAAAAATCCGAGAAGTACTGGCTACCCCCCTGAGTGACTAGAGAGGAAACAGGGTCCTAATTAGACACTGAATCTCACAGCTCTCTGATATCTGCCCCAGGACAGTAAGAAACTTAAACTAGCTCAAGCAGTCTTCAATCTGGTGGCATTAGGAGGCTCTGTGGCACTAGGACACATTGAAATGCCATTTCAATACAGCCTCGGTGAGTTCCCATGTCCTCAGATCCTGTATTCTGGCAATAAGAGCTTGTCCTAAGCAACCACTTAGGGCCAAAGAGGCAGCTTTGTTTTCTGTGCATCTTGTCTGACCAGCACAGTGTGGTGCTGGCCCTGCACATGAAGCATCTGGTCCCAGTGTCAGATGGGAACCTCCAACACCGATGGCTCCAACCTCCATCTTCCCAAGCAAATTTGATAGTAAATTGCTAAGATTAACAAGACCAAATTTCACATTTCTGACTGATCTACTAAGTAGCTACCTTCATCTGGTCTCTGAAGTATGTTGTTCAGATCATACACAGACCCTCAGGCCATGCACAAACCATCAGCACTGTCAGGCAGTGGATTCATGCTTTGGTTCATTTAAATCTTGGTTTGGGGTTTAGCTCTCCTGCCTTATTCTAGCTGTTGCCTGTATGAGCCCCTGTGACCCTTCTCTGCCTTGTTTTGGGGATGGGGAAACATCAATCACAGTTTGAGGAAGGCTTTGGCAGCAACGTTGCCCCCACTCCCCCTACCTCTACACTAGAGGTAGCCACTGTCTCCTACCTCTAGACTACAGGGTGTCATCTTCTCCCTGGGCCAAGCTGAGAACCTGCCGAGTTGGCTTTTGAGTTGGCTGGTGTGTTTTCTAAACACAGCTATTGTAGGATATTATTTAAGACCAATCATTTCTTTCACCTGGTTCATGGCAATCCACTCCTACCAAGGGGAACGGGCTGTGGCTGAGGTACACCACTTTGGTGAGGAAGGAAGGAGTGCATTAAGCTGGTGTTGAAGGTGCTTTTCTTGTGAAGCTCCATATCCCTGCGGAATGATTCTTCCTGGCAAGCCCAGGGATCTCTTCCAACATTCTCACCATGAGCAGCCACATTTTTTTCTCTGTAGCAGGATTTAGCAGGCACAGGATGGATTGTGCCTGCTCAGGGATCGCTCCGGCTGGTATACATCTGTGTTGGGGAGGAACAGGGACATATGGGGCTCCTCCGGACTGCAGGGAGGTAAGTGACCCCACAAGGAGCTCAGCACTGCTGGAGTCGGACAGGGATAAACAAGCACAGGCCTGTTTTTCTCAAGGGAGATGATTTCCTCGGTGCCCTTTGCCTGAGCCTGTTTGCTTGGCTTAGCCTTTGTTTTCACCGTATGCAAGAAGCCTTGACCACTTCACTTGAAGCTGTTCTTCATTCAAGGCCAGCAAGAAGCGTTTCTGGCATTTCTATTTCGTGTTTCAGGCTCTTAGGTGTTGCTAATGTCTGCACTTCTACATACATTTTTTTTTTTTTGCAAACATCGCAGGTCTGCTTTCTTGCAGTATTTTAAATCCTTAATTCCCTGATGCTGCAGAAGGAGTATTAGATATTTTCCGTCATCAGCCTGGCCGTGGTGATTTCCTTTGCTTGATAAGTTTATTACTTTGTCAAGGTGACAGTTAAGTCTGTCTGGAGTATCTCTGTGTGTCTTGTGCCAGACTCCAATTCGGACTCCAAATGCAATCTATTTTTTTTTATTTTTATTAGAGATGCTGTTTCTCCAGACCCAGAATGCTAGGAGCAAAATGGGAATTTTGAGAGTTACTTTTTTCCCTACTTCCCTACTGAAATTGGTGCAGCTCCAGTTTATACTAGCAGGACTGAAATCACCGTATCTATAAACTCGACGAGCAAACTTATGGCAAACAAACCCAGCGATGGAATCCCATTGATAAAGACAATTCCCCTTCTGGCAGCCGCTCAGCGAAGCCCGCGAGCAGCGATTATGAGTTAATAAGAATCACACAAGCCTGCCAAAGCTGCTGGAGATGTGACTAGCAAACACCTCCACAGAGCCAACGAATTGCTGCGCCGCCTGCTCCCTGCTGCACTAAATCATCTCTTCCAGAGGTAGCAGCTCCTGTGCTGGGCTGACAGGCTTCCCAAAGTGCCAATTACCTGCAGTGGGGAATAGTGGCCGGGCCAGGAAGGAGCCTTTGCTAAAGCACTGGAAAACGGAGCTGGAAAACGGCTTCTGGAAAAAGCACTGGAAAATGGGTCTGAAACTATGTAGGCTCATTAGAGTGGAAAGGAGCTCTCTCTGTGTTCCCTAGTAGGACTGATACGTCCAGGTGGGTGTTTTGGGTCCAACTATCAGTGTATGAGTCCCTAATTCCCCTTAACAAATCTGGAGTATAGTGCTGGGCCCAGTGTATCCCTGCCTGCCAGACTGGGGCCAGACACATCACCAAGCCATGCACCATGCCCCCCTTTTTCCAGAGATCCTCAGTTTGTTCTGTTATTCAGCACGACCCCAAACACCTCAAATCAATGGGAGTTTGTCCCTCACACGAGCTTTTCACCAGCCTCTAATAAATCCTTAAAACAGTAGAGAGCAGCTGCAGCACCAAAGCTGTAGCATTAATAGCGCTTTCAGTTTGATTGGTGGATACCGTCAGCGGAAAAGCAACCAAAACTAAGCAAATTAAATGCATTTTATAGCAGTTCTTGAGGGAGATCAGGTTATATTGCTTGTGAGCTGCAAGCCAGGTCAAGCAGGCTGGCCCTTCAACAGAGAAAGTTCTGACATCAGTCCAAAAATGTCATTGTTGAGGTAAGAAAAACATCTAAATTTCCCATAATTTTTTGTAGCAGATATATGATAGGAAGGGAGATCCAGACCACTGTCAGTATTAAGAATGTAGGAAATAGAGTAAACAGCACACACACAAGCACACAAGAAAAAGCAACAAATAAAGAAAAAAAAATAGTGGCGTGCTCCCTTGGAAGATGGGGAAACTGAATCCTATGCACTGAATGCATCGGTAGGGTAAATCCTTGGAATCCAACCTGCAGTAGCCAAATGTCACCTGGGACCAGAGTGTGAACAACTCGTGTGTGATATAATTTAGATAGAGAATGTCATGGCTTTTTGGGCTAGTTACAGAAGATAAAAGAAAAGGTTGACCAACATTCATAGCTGATGATACAGGAACATTCATTTCTGTAACCGTATGTGGCTCTATCTGACCATCTTGGATATTTCAGCAGGCCATTCAAAGGAAAACCATGTGTAGACGTGGTTTTCAAAGCACCCTATTTCCAATAAGTGTGAACTTTGTTTATCCTAATAAAAGAACATTAGATTTTTTTTCTCTCTCTCTCTTTTTTTTTAACTCATTATTTGGTCTACTGTTAAAAAAAAAAAAGTAACCTGGTATGTTTGTAAGATAAACTTGGGAAACTTGCAGGCTGATGCAGTGTGAGCACTGAGGGTGGGTATGAGACAGATGCTCTTCCTGGCAGATATTCTTCCCGACAGATGTGGTCCTAGCCTTGCTACGTTCCCATTTTACAACTTAGTGAAGAGGAGCAATGGAGCTCATCTAGTGTCCTACCTGCACCTGACAAGGTAAAGATGAGTTGGTCTGCCTGTATATAGACCTGTAGGAATCACAGAACTTGAGGTTGGAAGGGACCTTCAGAGATCGTCTGGTCCAACCTCCCTGCTCCAGCAGGGTCATCCCTGGGCAGAGCAGGCTGGCCAGGACAGCTGTGTCAGTGCCCAGACAACCTGTGAGTGCCTCCAAGACTGGTGACCTCCTTGGAGCAGATTAGGGGAAGTGCTGAGTGGTGTTGGTGATGGGGCATAAAGCTCTCTCGTGGTGGAGACCTTGTTTTCCCCAGAGACTTATACCCGGCCTCTGCCTGCCTGAGCCCAGCTCTTCAGGGGCGCCCTGATCTCTCCTGGTCTTTTGATGTCACTTTCTGAAAAGGTGTCAGAAGAGGCCCTGGCCCCCAGGGTCTGGAAGAGCAGGCAGACCCTGTGGTGGGTGGTGGCCTCCTTGCCAACAGTCCCATATCTGTTCCCTGTGGCTTGTGAGTCCCTCCCCTCCAGACCTACTTTTGCTGGGAGATACGAGGTAACCTCTCCACCAAAAATAGCTGGGAAGGCAGCCAATGAAGATTAATGGCATCATTAATGTCCCCAGTTTATTTATAGGTTTAAAAACGTCTCAGACCTGCAAACTGAGCAGAGTCAGTCTGTATAACATATGGACTCCCAGGCCTGGGACTTCTGCCATTCCTATTTCTGTTATTTCATCCTGTTTGTTTAGACTGGGCAAAGTTTGGGGCAGGGACTGTCCCTCGTTGTAGATCTACAGCCTTATTAACCAGGGCCACGTGCACTGGTTTTGTTTGATTGATTGATTGATTGTTTTTTCCCACAAATGCAGGACTTGCCCGTTTGCCTTTCTCCACCCAGCTGCTCCTGTGTTTACTTTATCTTGTGGCCCCTCTTTCGGAAAACACTCTTTTTGAGGAATTCCTGAGGCACAGGCTGAGCAGTAATCACAGGAATTAGTGATTTCCTGACTGGAGTTTTAAACCATAAGATCCCTGGGACAATGATTGAGAGTCCTAAAGTTATGAAGAGAACCTGGGACATCCCAGGCTTTAGTGAAACATGAATATGCAACTAAGAGGTCTTTCTGCAGGTGACAAGGGCCAAAAAGCACCAGCTCTGCTTCCGAGTCCTTGAGGAATCTTGCAGGACTGGCAGGAGAAGGAAAAACACTGAGTGCATCGGTGCTCGGACAGCAGCTCTCACCACTGTATCGGTGGCCACGCTGCGTGGACTGTGTCCAAGAGCTCAGTAAAAGGTAAGTACGTTAGGAAGGAAGCTTCTTGTCA